TAATTGTATTTATAAAAATATTATGTGAAAAAAATATTTAAAATTATATTATTTTAATAAAATATTAAGAATAAAGACATACAATCACACTATAACTTTAAAATCTATGAAAATTTTTGTTTTTTTAATAAGAGTTAAATAAAACAACATAATTTTGAAACATTTTCCCCTTAATTTGTTAGAAATCCAGCTAACATACATTGTTTTTAATTAAATACTAATACAAATATATTTAGGGACTTGACTATAACTTTGGCTAGAGTGAAAAGTAGAGTGTTGGAATCTGGAACAAAATCAATAACCATGGGGCTGGGTGAGTTATATCAGTATCAAATTGTCCTACTAGATCCAACTTTTGTCATGTACAGCTTTTGGCAATTGGGCGATGGCAAGGGAAAACAATTCTTTCACTTGTATTTTTCATCACTGCTTCAGGCTCATATCACTACACAATGCCACTTGAAATAAAGTGCTTCATAGCTAAAAATAACTCAGCATCGGAGAACACAATTAGAATGATAAAATGTGACTAACCAAGCTATCGAGTGACTGGTATGAAGAACCACCTTGACAGAGGCATTGAGTTGCTTTCTCCTTTAAATCCAATACTCTGCCCCTTAATTTTTCCCCCTCTTTCTCCATCATTATTCCTTTAATGGTGTTCTCTATCACCTCCCTCTCCCGCTTCTCCAATTGCACACCAACTTCCCAAACCTCAGCCACGTATCTGGCGTTAACCCTTTGATCAGTGAAAAAAGGCATACAAATCATGGGAATCCCTTCACATATGCTCTCCAATGTTGAGTTCCAGCCATTGTGAGTCCAAAATGCTCCAACTGCTGGATGAGACAACACCTCCTGCTGTGGAGCCCATTTCACTATGTGTCCCCTCTCACCCAAAGCTTCCAAGAAACCTTTTGGCATTGTTTCAAGCCAGTCAGATTTGCTGGTTGATCCAGCCCTAACCACCCACAAGAAGGGCTGCTTGCTGTTGGCTAGGCCCCAAGCTATCTCTAAAAATTCAGTTTCATTGACCGCTGCAATACTTCCAAAGCTCACATAAACAACTGATCTGGATTTTTGTTTGTCTAGCCAAGAAATACAGCTTTGATCCTGGGATAATAAGCTACTCAAAGAGGCTGGAAAGTGTTTATGAAATGGACCGATTGGGAAATTTGGGATGCCAAAGTCTTGGCGCATTGCAGCCAGGGCAGGTTGCTCCAGTTCAATAGTATTCCATATGAGTCCTGAAGAGGCCTTGGTTGCATTGACCATGTCATCTACCAGTTTATAAAGTTCTTCTGGGGTACAAGAGTCAATGAGCGGAAGGTCTTTGACCCTGAGAGGTGCAAGCTCTACCACTGGCTTCTCTAATTGAGAATCTGAAACAGTTTCAAGCAGCAAG